GAGGACTGTTGGATCTCGTCATCCTGTTCACTTTCTTGGCAGGAACTAAAAGAAGGGGAGAAAGGCAAAAGGGAAAACTAAAAAGACAGGGTTAAGGAGTTGAACGTCCTATAAAGAACCTCTCTGGACAGTCAATGACTTCCATTTTCAACTTACTGAATTCCTCCCGGTTATAAGAGCTGCTGGGGAATGGAATCTTGCTGCCCCAAATGAAATTAGGGTACCGTTACTAAGAAACAAGGGGAGAATGGGTATTGGGTGGACAACCAGCAATCTTTATGACACTGTTTTTTTGTCACTAAGGTTAATTTGGGATTTGGGGTCATGGAACCAGCACAGAATAGCTTTGGATCGTAAACCATGGCAAAAGAGGCACCTTTTTTTAGCCAATGGATTTGAATTAAAAATCTAGTTTTGATGCTTATTAACCAAGTGACCATGGGAGGGTGAATTACTTTATTGGAGCCTCAGTTTCTTCCCCTGTAAAATGGGATGATACTAATAGGGCTACCTCACTGGTTTGAGATAAAGATTCATGAAAGCTGAGTAAGTGACAGCACTTGGAGCAGAGTTAGCCACCCAGCAGATTCCCAAGAACATTTTGTTTCTAAGAGCTTGAGATTCAGGGCCTTTGCTCAAAGTGGCCCAGTGAGGGGCTCTTAGGCTATGGCATAGGGAGTGGCTATTTTGATGACTAGGGAAGAAGGCCTCCCTCTTGAAGAGGATAGGCTTCTAGGTTTTGTCTGCAAAGCTACCTATTTCTAGAAAGCTACAAATGTCCCAAGACAATCTTTACTGGGTCCACCAGGCTGGGCTGAAACTCTCTTGAGCAGGTAGAAATGACAGCAATCTATAAATCCAGGGTATTGACAAGGCTAAACCAGGCACCTGGCACCCTGGAACTTTCTCCCTGTCCCCACCTGTGATGGCCTTCCAGCCTGTCCCATGTAATTCAGCTTTCACATCCTCCACCCTACATGTATGAATGTGCAGAGTCTCTCTGAACTCTTGAACAAAGCAAGGAATGAGCCCCTCCAAGGAAGGTTGTGGGATCGTGGGCAGGTCACTTAAGCTGTGTGATCAGTGTTGTTATCTGTAAAATGAGCAGGTTGGCCTTGATGATTTAAAGATAAGCAATGCTTGTTGAACACCTGCTGTGTGCTGGCGCCTGTGTGAGGTGCTGGAAATGCAGGAGCGTAAGAGACACAGCCTGCCCCCCAGGGGTTGAAGGTGTGATGGGACACGGACAGGGAGGGGAACAGGGAAGTAGGGGATGCCAGGGAAACTCCAAGGATGTGTCTTTCCTGATGTCTGTGGTTCATGAGCATAAGGCACTCCTGGCATACATAGTAGGAGGAACTCGCAGGTAACAGAGCTATAGCCCTGCCCACCTGCAACGGGAGGTGACGCCAATACAGGCCAGGGACTTGAGTGGCTCTTTGGATCACAGCAGGGGCTGCTTCAAGCGCTTACCACATAACCTAGTAGGCAGAAACATGGACTCCGGAGCTAGGCTGTCTGGGTTCAGAACTCAGCTCGGCAATATACTAGCTGTGCGCCTTGTAGAAAGATATTTAACTTTCTAATCTATAAATTTGGTATACTATTAGCATCTTCCTCATAGGATAGTTAAGAGAATTAAGATGAATTAAAAGTATCTGCTGCACTAGACTCCTTTATCTCTGCCTTCTGTCCTGGTAAGGGACAGAAGGAAAAAGAAAGAACCAAAGAAAAAGGCTCTGGTCCTTAGGCCTGAGAGATTACGAAACAACATCTTGAAGATGTAAGAAACAGGGATTTCTTCCCCATTCCTCATCTTTCTGTTCTTTAGATAATATATATTCATCTCTCTGGCCTCTCCTATTTACCAAGCCCACAGGAGGGTAGGGTGGCAGTCATGTGCAGTTCTCCATTCCGCCTAGAAGCCATCTGGGAGCCATCCCGCGTTGGAGATGGAGACATTGACCGCAGAGCTTGCCCCGAGAGCCAATGCACAGGGACAGAGCGAGGCCTGTCAGAGGGGCAACTGCCCTCCGCTCCCTATTCTGTAAAAACTGTTAAATGGAAATGTAAAAACAGATACCACTTCCCTCAACTCAACTCCACCTGCTCTACAGAAAAACCGGATGGAATTGCCAGTATCAGGGATTGGTACCTTGAGGGAATGTTGGCCTCTAAGTACCCTTTCCAGCCAAATTCCAGAGGTCAGTGCTGGGTAGCAGTGGGAGTGTTCAGAGTCTAGACTACTGAGCCAGTACAAGAGACCTTTCCACAGCTGATGGACTCCCTCTAAGAGTCATAAGAAGTATAGAAGTATTCCTTCAGTTCAAAGTTGTGCAGATCCTCTTGGTTAGGAAGCAGGAAAGGGCCTTCACTCCCTAACACCTAAGAGGTGGAAGGAAGCTGGAAGGAGCTGGAAGGAAGACCATGCGTTTGGATAGTAGGGGTGTCAGAGGAAATGACCTCAAATGGACGTATATATTCTCAGTAGGAATGACTCCAAAGAGAAATATAGACTTGCCACATCCTCAGGCTTGTGATGAGTGAAGGAAGGTTCAGGACAGGTAGACAGTGTTCAGGTGAGGTTCTCCAAAGGGAACCATAGAGCCCTAGCATTTTCTGAGCTGGAATGCCCTCACTGCCTGCATGAGGAACCAGGGGACTTTCTTTATAGTAGACCTCATTCTCCCAGACCCCTCACAGTGATCCACATTGTTGATAACCTTCTTAAAATCCTCTTCCTTGACCTCCTGCTTATTCTGGCCTGCCTCTTACCTCACCTCTCTGGTTACTCTAGTCTCCTGTGGGCCCTGAGCCTGGCCTTTTCCCCAAGTTCTGCCCTTGAGGCCAGGCTCTTGCTCTTTATCCCCTCTCCCCCATCCACTCATGCATCTTCAGCTCCATGGGTATTTGACATCCTGGGTTGTCCTGGGCACTCATCTCTCCTGCAATGACAGAGCTCCTAGGACATCCCATGGTCACCTCATACTTAGCATTTCCAAATGTCAGCTCAGCATTTTCTCTACTCTGATAGCTTTTATTATGTACAGCCTATTTTTGACATCTTATATTCCCCTCCTCCAGGTTCAGTGATTTTCAGTGCCTGAAAATTCCCCTCTATCCTTGGGCCTCAAATTTAAGGTTTTCCTGGCCATCTTCAGTAATTTGCTCATCAAATTCTTTTTGAGCATATTAATATTCTCTGTGCCAGAGTTGGCTCCAAGTGCTAGAAGTTCTATGGTAAAACAAGACAGACTTGGATTCTGTCTCTGAGGGGCTTATAGTTGAATGGTGGAGACACAAATTAACATAAGTATTGCAGAAAAATAGCTATATAATTTCTATGAAAGAAGAGAACAGAGCTGTGACAATGCATGATAGAAGGTAGGAGGAGAGGCAGGAGAGGCAGCTACCTGATCTGGAGGCCAGAAAAGTCCTGAACATGGGGAACAGGTGCAAGATTTAGCAGTCTTGGAGCTCGTTTCCTCTTTCAGAATTTGAGGCCTGTGGTAGGCTAAGTAATGGTTCATCAAAGATGTCCATGTCCTTAACCCAGAAGCTTGAATATGTTATTTACAGGGCAAAGGAGATTAAGGTTGTAGATGGTATTAAGGTTGTAAGTCTCCCTTTAGAAAGGGAGATTTTCCTGGATTATCTGGGTGGGATCAATGCCTTAAAGTGGAAAAGGGAGGAGACAGGAGAGTCAGAGAGAGATGTGATATCCTAACTGGGTCAAAGAGATGCTATGTTTCTGGTTTTTGAGGATAGAGTAAGGGCGCCATGAGCCAAGGAATGTGGGTAGACTCTAGAAGTCGAAAAAGGCAAGGAAACTGATTCTTTTCTAGAGCCTCTAGAAAGGAATCCAGCCCTGTTGTTACTGATTTTAGCCCAGTGGGACTCCTGTTGGACATCAGAAATCCAGAGCAGTAAGATAATAAATTTGTTATTTTAAGCCACTAAGTTTGTGGTAATTTGTTATGGCTGCAGTAAAAAATTATAATTATAGGCCTCAGCTCTGTTTTCATTCCTAAATGCATTTCATTTATTTCCACCTGTACACTTGAGTCCTATCTTTCCTTCATCTCTGCTCTCCGGATCCATCTTCTGGACTCTGCATTTTTGAGGACTCCAAGGGCACAGAACTCCAAGGGTTCAGATCAATTATGGGAGCAGCTAAAGGGAGGGGAGCAAAAAGCAGGCAAGTGAGTGCAGGGTGAATGGAGAGCTCTAGCTCTGGACTCAGGCCTGCTGGACCTCCAGGAGCATCGATTCCCTGTGGGTATCTGCTCAAGGTCTTTGGCTTATTTCTTCAGCTTAAACATTAAGACAGCAGTAGGTGCCATCTCGAAGCCATGAAAGGCGGTAACTGTATCACGCATTTACCACAGGAGATAATCATGAATGCTTATGTGACATCAGGAGGCCAGGTCCAGGGAATTACAGAAAAGTCACTGGAGGGTAATCAAGGGCAACGCCAAGCACCCAGGGCCAGGTGCCAGGGAAGGTGCTTCTTCCCCTTCCTGAGCCCTCCCCTTTCCTGCCCCGGTGGGGGCTCAGGGAGAAAGCCCCAGGGGATGGGGAGACGCTTGGCCAGCTGTGCTGAGATACACCCCCGCCCCATGGCACAGACGCAGCTCAACCATCCCCTCTCAGCCGCTCCCCCCAACACCCTTTCTACCTTGGGCTGCCCTTCGGTGGCCCGCCGGGCTGGTTTCGCCAGGAGTGGGGCGCACGTGGCGCGGCGTCCCCTATCTCCTGGCGACAGAGCAGCGAAGGCCGTGGGGAGCAGGCCCGGGACCCCGCCAGGGTGGGGTGGGGGTTCTCACTTCCCCTCCCCAACGGCCGCGGGCGCAGGTGCCGCTGGCCGAGGCCGCCAGGCGGGGCGGGTCCTGTGGACACGCCCCCGCGGCCCGTCCTGCAGCCGGAGCGGAGGAAGCTCCAGAGCGGCGGCTGGTGCTGCGCCGAGCCGGGCGCCCCTGCCGCCCCGCGCCCCGGGACGCTGCCCGGCCCGCCCCGCGCACGCAGCGAGCCGGGCAGGTGAGCTGCGCCCGCGCCATGGCAGCCTCAGGTGCGTAGGCGGCCCCGGGCCCTGCGCGTGAGCCTCCCCGCCGGCCGTCTGGCCCCCCGCGGCTCTCCGGGCGCTCCCGGCTGCCGGCTCTGCTGCTGGCGCGGGATTGTGTGCTTCCGGCTCTTCGCCGCGTGCTTTCTGCTCTTTCCCGCTTCCCCGGCGCAAACCTCCCGTCGCAGCTTTCCCACGTCCCCCCTCCCGGCCTGTCGCGCGATTCTCTTCAGTCCTTATCTGCACCTCTCCTGTCCCCCGTCTTCCAAGTCTCCTTCTTGCCCTCCGTCACTGGCTCTAGTTGCTTCTGAGGGTCGTTTTCCCTGTTCGTCCAGCTGTGTGAACCCGAGTCCAATAGAAACAAGGCGGAGAGCCGCGTTGCCTACGCCTGGGAACTGCTTCTCTTAGGGCCTCATCCAACCAGTAGGGGGCGCTCAGGAAGTCCCTGGTGGGCGCTGGGTGATCGAAGGTGGCCCTTGGGCCACTTTCCTGAGCCCGCTTCCTTTCTGCCCTTCCTAGGCTTTGTTTTTCGCCTAGAATTTCGATAGGAATCTAGAGACACCATTCCTTTAGCTTTACTTTTCTCATGTCTTTGGAGAACTTTGGGGAAGGGGGAAAAGTGGAGGCCACTGGGTAATCTACCCCTCGAAAGGTGCCAGGAGTCATTTTCGATTAGTCTTGGGTTCTTCTCTCATTCATGGGTGTGTACACTTGCCAATGCTACTCACTCTCTGATATCCAGGACCAACCACGTAGTGATGATAATAATAGAGACAACTAAGGAGTATATTACTATGCACTATAATGGTTATAGTGCAGCTAAGTGTGTTCTCAGTGGTGACCAGGACAGCTTAGTCTGTGCTCTCAGGGAATTTACAGTCTCGCGCAGGAAATCGGTAAGTAAACAGGGAATCACTAGATGAGAAGACTAGAGTTACCGTGTTTGCAGATTTTTGTTTGCCCATTTTATGATGTTTTAATTTTTTTTCTTTTTTTATATTTATTTATTTTTGAGAGACAGAGAGAAACAGAACACAAGTGGGGGAGGTGCAGAGAGAGGAGGAGACACAGAATCTGAAGCAGGCTCCAGGCTCTGAGCTGTCAGCACAGAGCCCGATGCGGGGCTCGAACTCACCGACTGAGATCTTGTGAGATCATGACCTGAGCCGCAGTTGGATGCTTAACTGACTGAGCCACCCAGGCACCCTTAAGATGTTTTAGTAGAGATAATGTGTATAAACAGGATATAAAATCTTCTTGAAAACTAAAATCTAGTCAGCAGGAGAAGATACTGTTCTTGAAGAATGTGGGCAGGTGCTAGAATGAAGAGCCATCTCTCCCCATATCCTCTGAGGTTCAGCCTTCTAATTAATGGTTCTTTGGAAGCAGGAGAGAAGGCCAATGGTAACAGTTCTATTAGATTGGTAATACAGGCTCATTCTTTAAAGGGAATGGGAAAGTAGCTAGCTTTTAGCCTTCTGGCTCTCAATGGGGCTCTGGAGGTTAGAAGAAGGTGTATTGTGGGTAATGGTAAGGTCATAGTCCAGTTATATTTGAAAGCTGAAGCAGAGTTATCTAGAGGAAATTCATTCATTCAGCACATATTTGTTGCATGTCTACTGTTTCTAGGCACTGTTCTAGGTTTCAGGTATATATTCTGTAATCAAAATTGACCCAAGTCATTTTCCCTTGGAGCTTATGGAATGCTGGGGAAAGGCAGGCAATATGCTTAATAAGGGAAGCACATGATATGATTAAGTGCAGTGGGAAAACAGTAAAGGGGTCAAGGGGGTCAGGTTTATAATTTTAAATGAGGTAGCCAGGTTAGGCCTTATGGAGAAAGGAATATTTGTTTGTTTTTCCAGAGTTGTTGTTGTTTTTTTATTTTTATTTATTTTTATGTTTTTTTAATTTTTTTATTTTACAAATAGTTTATTGTCAAATTGGTTTCAATATAACACCCAGTGCTCATCCCCACAAGTGCCCTCCTCCATGCCCATCTCCCCCCTCCCTCCCACATCCATCAGTCCTCAGTTTGTTTCTCAGCATTCAAGAGTCTCTCATGGTTTGCCTCTCTCCCTTTCCCCCACCATTCCCCCCCTTCTTCTCCCCCATGGTCCTCAGTTAAGTTCCTCCTAATCCTCCTATATGTGCAAACATATGATATTTGTCAAGAAAGGAATATTTGAGCAAAGATCTGAAGGGAGGGATCACTTGGGGGAAGAGTGCTCCATTCAGAGGAACAATTAATAGGGGTATATGTATATTTAAGGAACAGAGAACAAGTGGTGGAATAGGTGACTGACAGGGGAGAAGTGGGAGATGAGGTCAGTGAAACTCCCATCTCCTTCCAGGGCTGAGAACAGGCCCTGGGCTGTTAAGTCCAAGAAACAGGAAACTGAGAGAGCCTTTGGACAGAAGAGATGGAGAAAATCTTCTTCTTCCAGTGTCCTGTGTGCATGCTTCCAGCTGGGCATGGCCCTAGGAGCTAGAAGATGGGGACTCTGACCCAGTGGCCAAACCCAGAGCTATTTATGGGCTCTGGTGGCTTCTGCAGACATCTGTGATGGTTAGGGCTGTCAGACTCTTGCTGTCAGCACGCTCTGTGGTGAGACACCGCTTCAGGTGCCATGAGTAGGAGTCAGGCCTCTGGGGTCCCTGGGGCTCTCTCAGGTCTGGAGATACAAGTGCCCATGGTGGCAGTGAGACTGACTACCTCTTGCCAAGCTATTTTAGGGTCTGGACTCTTCTTGGGCACTCTTCCATGTGGTCTGATGCTGCTTGTCTTCTTCCTCCCTCTCCTCTTCCCCCTCCTCCTCCTCCTTTTTATTTTAAATGGTTTTATTCAGATATTATTCATATACCATACAATTTGCACATTTAAAATATACAGTTAGAAACAAAACAAAGAGTATACAGTGCAGTGGTTTTTTTTTTTTTAGTATCTATACAGTCATGTGCAGGCATCACCATGGTCAATTTTAGAACATTTTCATCACCTCAAAAAAACTCATTTTGGGAAATGAGTGAGGGAGAGACAAATTATGAAATAGAAATTTTAAAAAAAGAAAGAAACTCCGTAGGCTTTAGCTATCACCCTCCGATTCTCTCCTCCTGCCCAGCCCTGTGTTTTATCTCCTGTCTCTGTCGTTTCCCCTGCTCAGGACTTCTGTATGAATGGGATCGTATAGTATGTAGTCTTTGGTGTTTTCTTTCACGTAACGTAACGTTTTCAAGGTTCATCCAAGTTGTAGCGTGCCTCAGCACAACATTCCTTTTTCAAGCTGAATTGTGTGGTCTTTTAAAATTCCCTTCTACTGAAGGGTGAGCATTAGTATTTTATTTTGTTTTACTATTTTTTAATAAAAATTTTTTAATGTTTATTTTTCAGAGGCGGGGAGGTGGGGAGAGACAGCAGGGGAGGGGCAGAGGGAAAGGGAGACACAGAATCTGAAGCAGGCTCCAGGCTGAGCTGTCAGCACAGAGCCCGACCTGGGGCTGGAACCCATGAACTATGAGACCATGACCTAAGCCAAAGTCAGATGTGTAACTGACAAGCACCCAGGCGCCCCAGGATTTTATTTTTTGAAAGACATTTTTGCTTGCTGAAATCAAGGAGAATCTTGGCTTCCTGTTTTTGAAAGAGCTTAAGAGGCAAGATGAAATAAAATGGCATCAGCCTACCGTGGAATATTCTCTATCCTCGTGGTGGCATCTCCTGCGTTTAGACGTGAGAGAAAGGAGAAAAAGAGACTACAAGTGACTTTCCCAAGTGACCAAGTCTGTGGCTGAGTGAAGACCAGAGTCCTTTCCTACATGTGTCAGTCTCCAGATATTTGAAGAAAGCTTGCATACCTTTTCCTGCTCTTTTTCTCTGAGGCTTCTCTTATCTTCAGATTTTTCTACCATTCCTGGACTTAGAAGATAAGAGGGTTTGAAGTACTTTTAATTTTTTGTGATCTTAACTCCCATCTGATTCTTTTTTTTTTAATTTATTTCTGAGAGAGAGAGAGAGCAAGCAGGGGAGGGTTAGAGAGAGAGAGAGAGAGCAGGGGAGGGTCAGAGAGAGAGGGAGATACAGAATCTGAAGCAGGCTCCAGGCTCTGAGCTGTCAACACAGAGCCCGATGTGGGGCTCGAACCCACAAACCATGGGATCATGACCTGAGCCGAAGTCGGACGCTTAACTGACTAAGCCACCCAGACGCCCCTGATTCTTGAAGTCCGTTAATACTCCCATCAAGTCTCTAAACTTGAAACCTTCAAAGTCTGGAAGTGCCTCACATGAGCCATTACCTAGATCCCTCCTTCCTTATCCTAGTCACCTTTCATAGCTCACATCCGGCTTCAGTATGGTGCTTATTAAGACAGATGAACGGGGAGCCAGAGTCACGTGCAGACTAAAATGGCCCGGGCTGGGCAATTCGAAAAGCTCCCTGGCACTTCCTCCCTTTTCTTTTCTCAGGTGGATTCTGAATTTTTCTAAGGAGCCTGTCTTTTAGTCACTGTATTTCTTTTTCTTTTTAAAAAAATATTTTCTTAAAGTTTATTTATTTGAGAGAGACAGAGACAGTGCAAATGGGGGGAGAGGCGGGTGGGGGGAGAGAGAGGGAGAGAGAGAGAGAGAGAGAGAATCCCAAGCAGGCTTTGCACTGTCAGCACAGAGCCCAGCGTGGCACGTGAATCCACAAAACCATGAGATCATGACCTGAGCCAAAACCGAGTTAACGGATGCTTAACAGACTGAGCCACCCAGGCATCTCTGTTTAGGATTTATGGGCTCCTGTTGGTCCATGTATTTAATTTCTCATAATAAACAAAACTGAAAGAATTGATTTGGCACATGTGAGGAAGTGACCTATGGTTACAGGAAGGGAATTATCCTAGAAGAAAGGGGGGTCCCCCGTAGAAGAGAGAGTTGCTGACAAAGCGTTTGGTCCTGTGTTGTTATCTAGCACATTGTGGAGGAACTTTAACTTCCACTTTGGAACTTTTTTAGAATTTCCCCCACTTCAGTTTCAGTAGCAGAACAAAATTTAAGAAGGCGATAGATTTCATTGTCCCCATTTACAATGAGGCAATTTTTCTTAGACTTAGTATACTGGTCTCAAGTCACACCATAAGTAGGTGACCAAGTAGGTTGTGATATTGATGAGTCTGAAACACCAACCACTTCCTTCTTGTGTACTTTTGCTGAGAGCAGTGTGGTGTGTGTGTGTGTGTCGGGGGAGGGGGACAAATATAACACCAGAATCCCAGGAATGAGATATTTTCTATATGTTTTCTGTATAGAAGAGCCTAACCCCTTAAGTACTTTTTAAATTTAAGTTGTATTAAAAAATTTTATTTTAGAAGTTTTGGATTTATTGAAAAACTGTGAAGATAGTAGCGTTCTCATATGCTCTACACCCAGTTTCCTTCATTATTAATATTTATACTTCCCTTAACGACCCCACATCTTTAATGCCCAGCAGATGCCGCGTTGTGCTGTTAAGAGAGGAGCAGGTGATGGTGAGGCAGGATCCAGGGTGTAAAGATTACTTGCTCCCTCAGTGACCCCAGAACTTGTCACTTGAAATTGTTGGTTTGCTTTGGGTTGCTGTCTCCTCATAGTAGTGGCATACGTCACTCATGCACACGTGGTCAGGGCAGGATAGAGAGGCTGCCTTTCTGCTAAGTCCATCAATGCTCCAAGAGCTGAGTTGCCATCTTGAGTGCTTATAATGTTCTCAGCAATTCCCTTCTCTCTTCCTTATTTCCTTATCATCTATTGACAACATCACCAATGGCTTCATTGCTACTGTATGGGACCTGTCTGAGATCTTATTCTCCTTCTAGCCCATTTGTAAAAATTGTCGACATAATATTTGCTAGTATATTTGTCTGTGTGGGTGGGGGTTATTAGTGGCTACTGCTTTTAACTTTTGCACTTTTTAAAAAATATATTTTTTAATGTTTGTTTATTTTTGAGTGAGAAAGAGAGACAGAGCATGAGTTGCGGAGGGACAAAGAGAGAGGGAGACACAGAATCTGCAGCAGGCTCCAGGCTCTGAGCTGTCAGCAGACAGCCCAACGTGGGGCTTGAACTCATGAATTGTGAGATCATGACCTGACCCAAAGAAGGACACTTAACGGACTAAGCCACTCAGGCACCCCTAGTTTTGTACTTTTAACTGAATTCTGAGTGTAGCATCATTAGCATTGCACCCTTGATATTATAATGCAATGTGAAGTCTTGTACACTGCCTGCCTGGAGGACATATACTCATATGCAGTAACACTTTACATTTAGAAGAATATTAAAAATAATTTTTTAAATGTTTGTTTATATTTGAGAGAGGCAGACAGACAGATAGAGTGCAAGTGGGAGAGGGGCAGAGAGGGAGAGGGAGACACCGAATCCTAAGCAGGCTTCAGGTTCTGAGCTGTCAGCACAGAGCCCAATGCAGGGTTCGAACTCACAAGCTGTGAGATCATGACCCAAGCTGAAGCCCGACGCTCAATAGCTCAGACACCCAGGCACCCCTACATTTAGAAGAACATTTCCTCTGAGGATAAATCAGTCATGTAGAAAAGAGGGGCGGAAAGAAGGTAAAAGTATTATGATCCTTTAAATCTACTTTTCTCAGGGTAAGCTCTGTAGTTCTGCTGCTTTGCCAATATTATTCCCTCCATAGTCCTGAAATTATTTCTCCATTGAGGTACAAACAACTGTGTTACGCAGGAAAAAAAAAAGATCAATCAGCAAAGATTTTATCTTGTGGAGGTCTACAACACTGCCTTCTATACATTAAAATTTTGTGTTTAATCTGCTTAAGCTTTGGGACCAGTGCAAACATTCCTATAATGGACGGTTTTGAGGAAAGAGACGATGCTCAGAACTGAGTTTTTGGTAGAGCCACAAACATCCATGGTGTTGTGAGAATTGCTGATGGCTCCCCCCTCTTTTTTTCCACATTGCCTTCTTAAACTGACTTCTATTAAAATTTGCACCCCTCCCCTTCAAAAGTACTCCTGGGCTGATCAATGTGCTCCTATTGAGAGCCTGTTGGGTTTTATATTAGCGCTAGATTACGGCTCCAGCAAAGCACACACTCCAAAAAGAAACTCCAAACTTTTAAAAATTTGTCATTTAAAAAATTTTGGCAGTATTATCCCTGGGGAAATCAGAACAGTGTTGGGTTCCATGTTATATGTCATCGTTTTTACTTTGAATATGGTGTTCGATGGGACAGGAAAGGGGAGTCCTCCTGAGATGTTTTCAGAGCTTATGGTCTCAGGTCCTGCCCCGGTCCTGCCTCTGACCTTCATGCCAGCAACCACTCAGTGGAATGTGGCCCAGGATAGTGTTTAATTGTGACAATCCACAACTTAGATGATTCCCGAGCTTCACCAGACTTGAGCATCTTCCTTCTCTGAATGGGAGGAAGGATCCCTGTATTGTTTTGTATCATATTATATTGTATTGCTGATGCTCAGAGATTCCTCTGAGCTCGCCCCTTCCAAATCATGGAGAATGGTTTGTTGTTTCTGGGCGATGAGGCTTCTCAACTGTAGGAACAGTTACGTGAAGATTCAAGCTTCTTTGAACTTTGGGTCATTGGAAGATACGCTTTAAGACTCACAAGATTTTTTTTTTTTTTTTTTTTTTAATGTTTTATTTATTTCTAGGAGAGAGAGAGAGACAGCGTGAGCATGGGAGGGTCAGAGAGAGAGGGAGTCACAGACTGAAACAGGCTCCAGGCTCTGAGCTGGCAGTCAGCACAGAGCCCGACGCGGGGCTCGAACCCACGAACCGTGAGATCATGACCTAAGCGAAAGTCGGACGCTTAACCGACTAAGCCACCCAGGCGCCCCAAGACTCACAAGATTCTTGACAGAATCCCTGACGGGAGGTAGCAGGTGGATGGATGAGAGGATGGGACAGGGGACCAGGGGACAACCTGAGGTTCAGTCTCGGCTTTGTGACTAATAGACTGAGTATGAATTGAAACAAGTCCCTTCATCTTCCCATATGAAACGTTTCTTTTATCTGTAAATGAGGAGTTTGGGCCAAGCAATTCCCAAAAGTTTTTTAAGTGAATGCTTCTCTGAGACTTTGGGCTCTGTTTCTGGCAGTTATGCTTTATGAGAAGAAGAAGAAAGCCTATGTCACAGACCAGGTATGGTGAGGGACACCTTACAAATGGTATTATGTCGATTGAAGCATTAATTTGTCCACGATTGCTGTTTACATTAACGCATTGTTTCTATTAATGTGAGGCTGATGATACCAGGTACCAATTATTGAGGGTTTACCACATGCTAGGCACTACGCTTCACACTTTATATGAAATATCTAATTTAGTTCTCACAAAACACTGATAAGTATTGCCAGTATATTTCCATCTAAACCTCCATTTACTCATCAGTAAATGAGGGTTTAGATTCTTTAAGTAACCTGCCCAAGGTTACACGGCTAATAATTCACAGGGCCGGGATGCTAGCTCTGGCCACCTGATTGCATACCTGTGCTTATAACCACTGTCCTTAGGAAAGAGCCAGGTTCTTCCGTCAAACTGTATGAGTTCAAGTTCTGACTCTGTCGCTGTGAACCTTGGGTAAATTAGGTAACCTGCCACACCTCAGTTTTCTCATCTTTAAAATGGGGCTAATGGTATTACCTACCTTATAAGGTTGCTGAAATGATTAAATGAGTTTGCTGGGCAGTGTGCTAGCAGAGCACCTGGAACGTAGTAAGCTCTGGGTAAAGAGCTTGCTGTTGCTGCATCGTCCTCCTCCTCACCACCATCATATGCTGCATCAGCTGTGGGTGGAGGGGCATGCAGCAGAAGTGACCGCTTATGTAAAGATCTGAAAAGGCATAGTATGTTCGCGCAGAGAGTGGGAGACTGCTATGGCTGGACCACAGACTATAAGTAGGGAAAGAGGCTTGGCAGGTATGCCAGGGGCAGACTGTGAAAGACTGCAGGTGCCAGGATCCTGGTCTGGGTGGTTTATATTGCAGGTGACGGGAGCCCTCGGAGGAGCAGGTGTGTTTTAACATGCTTCTGTGCCTTTTTCTTGCACAGGGGTGGTTGGAAGATGCGACATCCTCATCGTCTACGGCCCAGATGCCGAGGAATGGTGCCAGTACCTCCAGGACCTCTTTCTGTCCAGTCGGCAGGTCCGTAGCCAGAAGACGCTAACTTACAGGCTGAGCCCTGAGACCTCCTTCTCGGCCAAGGACCTGAACTTCTTCCTCAGCTCCCGCTGCGTGGTGGTGCTGCTGTCCGCGGAGCTGGTGCGGTGCTTCTGCCAGCCCACCCTGCTGCCCCTGCTGCAGAGAGCCCTCCATCCCCCCCACCGCGTGGTGCGCCTGCTCTGCGGGGTGCAGGACAGCGAGGAGTTCCTGGACTACTTCCCAGACTGGGCGCACTGGCAGGAGCTCACCTGCGAGGACGAGCCCGAGACCTACGTGGCAGCTGTGAAGAAGGCCATTTCGGAAGGTAAGAGTGTCTTCTCAAGTGAAGATAAGCAAGCCCTAAAACAGTGATTGGTCCAGGCCCCCAGACATTCCAGATGATGCATCTTCCTGCTTGTAAACCACTTCCATTTTATCATCACTGACCTAAGATTTTTGTTGAAGATATGCCACTTCGGCTAACGTGTATATAGAGAAATACCCTTCTTCTCAGTTTCCCACCAGTCTGACTTCTGTCTTTTGCCGTGTTTCTCCTTTTAAAGTGGGAAAATTCCGATGCTCTCTGCTGGGGCTAATGATTTCAGTGGCCCCAGGAAGTGTGACACACACTCTGATTAGCAGTAACGGAAGATGTGCTCTGGGATGGAGGCACGTCACAGCCTTTCTTCCTCTTTTGTTTTCTATTTTGGCCTCACTGTGGGCTATGAGTGGGCTACGTGTTTATCCCTGGTGTCTTGCCACTTGAGATCATCTGTACCTGATGCCAGCAAAGAAGCCTGGAAAATTATGGGCTGATTTAACTACGCTCAATTATCCCTGCTGTGACTTGGTTATTATCTTGGCTCATCCAGCGCATATCATTCGATGAACTGAATCAAGAATTCGCTAATACTCAGTGACCTTAAAAAGCTAATATAGCTTCCTACATAACATATCCAGGACTATGCTGCTTGCTCTAAACCAGTAAATATGACCAGAGCTCTTAGCATAGTGGGATCCTAGCTAATTTGTAATGTGACTAGTGTTAACATAAAAGATGTCTCACCTGAGATGCCTGGGACTTGGATAACTAATTCTTCTAGGGTTTGCTTTTCTTGCCTTCAGAAGGACACAGTGATAGAGAAGGCACATAGTTCAATCTTGCATGATTGCACATCCTTGCTTCGAGGGAGTTTTGATCTGCCTAAACTTACAAAGAACTGAAACACAAGTAGCTGTTTCTGTGGATGTGCTTATGTCACTGCAGTGTTCCATTATGATCTCGCGGGCAGGCCAGTCATTCAGAGCTCCAGGGATGTACTGTCACTGTACTGGCGCCTCATGCTGCATGATCAGCAGGTTGTTCTTTCGAATATTCCAGTGGTGGGACACCTGGATGGCTCAGTCGGTTGCCCGTCTGGCTCTCGGTTTCAGCTCGTGATCTCATGGCTCCATGGGTTCGGGCCCCACATCTGCTAGTGCAGAGCCTGCTTGGGATTCTGTCTTTCTCCCTTGCTCTCTGCCCCTCCCCTGCTCACATTGTTTTTCTCTCTCTCCCTCAAAATAAATAAATACATAGGTAGGGGCGCCTGGGTGGCTTAGTTGGTTAAGCGTCCGACTTTCGCTTAGGTCATGATCTCGTGGTTCGTGGGTTCAAGCCCCACATCGGGCTCTGTGCTGACTGCCAGCTCAGAGCCTGGAGCCTGTTTCAGAGTCTGTGACTCCCTCTCTCTCTGACTCTCCCCTGCTCACGCTGTCTCTCTCTCTCTCTCTTAGAAATAAATAAAACATTTAAAAATAAATAAATAAATACATAAATAAATAAATGAGTAAATAACTTAAAAAGAAAGAATGAAAGAAAATATTCCAGTGGTATTATTTTTAAAACTACATGATAAAAAGGATTCTTTTAATATGGTTTGAATGCATCCAATGTTTAGTGTCTGGAGTTGATTGACTATAATCATTTACTTTTTACTAATGACTCTGGCTCAGTATGCTATGAACCTGTGGTTCTAAGTGCTTCATGAAGAATGACGTGTTTCACAGTGGTGTTTCTGTTCTGAGAACAAATAACCTGTCATCAGAAAAAGATTATTTTAATGGGAGATTAAAATAAGCTTCTTAGTGGCAACTCTGTGGTTCAGAATCTATGGATATGGAGGGATGAGTGGAATTCTAGGAAAGAGAAAGAAGTAGGATGGCTTATGGCTCCCAAATAACTTTCTGATCTGGTGTTAGACTTGTGGACTTTGGGAGTTGAGGTATCCTGTGTGTGGGGGATGCTTTGGTTTGCTTTTCAGGTCCCTTAGCCTTTTGCGCAGCCCAGTAATGTGGGGCTCTGATTTTTATGCTGGGAAAGCTCTCTTAACACACTCAAGACTCAGAGTCTGGCAGTATACCAAACAGGACATTGGACAGTAGGGACACCCCATTGCCTGGCTCTGCCGCTAACTGAATGCCCAGTATCGGGCAAATCACTTAACCTCTTTGGGTTTCAGTTTCCTTCTCCATAAGTGGCAGAGAAATGGCAGAATTAGACTTGATCTAAGATACTTTCCAGGGTTAATAATCTAGGACTCCCCAAGGCCAGAGAGTCTCAAACATTTTTTTTAATGTTTATTTTTAAGAGAGAGAGAGAGAGAGAGACAGAGGTGAGTGGGAGAGGGGCACAGAGAGAGGAGACACAGAATCTGGAGCAGGCTTTAGGCTTTGCGCTGTCAGCACAGAGCCCAATGTGAGGCTTGAACCCACAAACCATGAGATCATGACCTGAGCCAAAGTCAGATGCTTTACTGACTGAGCCACCCAGGCACCCATAAGTCTCAAACATTTTTGAAGCATTCATCTTCTTACCCATTCCATGCCTGCTTTGACTCTTAGGAAGCTTACCATTAAAACAATGTTGAAGAACAGTACTATCCCAAGCTAGGTTTCTTATATAATTATGTCTTTAGTTAATGTTCTCTATAACTTGTGATTGTTTATTTTATTTTAAATGTTTCTTTATTTCTGAGAGAGAGAACACATGCATGTGCGAGTGGCTGAGGGGCAGAGAGAGGGAAAGAGAGAATCCCAGGCAGGCTCCGCGCTGTCAGCATCCATCCCAACATGGGGCTTGATCTCACAAAGTGTGAGACCGTGACCTGAACTGAAATCAAGAGTTGGACACTTAACTGACTGAGCCACCCAGTGGTTTTTATTATTAAATTATTTTATTATTAAATAAAATAATTTATTTTAATACTTCTCTTGTACACATGAGGTTTTCCTAAGGTGCCTCAAAATAAAAGCAAAAAATTTGCATACATTACTACAGATATCCTACTCTCATAGAAATAAATATATGAAACGTGTATCTTTGACTTTCCGTGTTAAGAAAAACAATCCCAGTGGGAACTGTAATGGAAAATTGATAATGGGGTTAAATTAATGGTAGGGACAATAATTATGGGGTTACTGATTGTGGGGTTGTTGAAAGCTATAGGGAGAGAAATTTCAGGAACCCTTTCTAACAGTTAGATTGTGCGAAGATGGAATGGATTGCCTTTGGAGATGGTGAGTCCCACATCCCTAGGAGCATGTGAGTGGAGACTGCAGATGTGGTCTAAAGGGATTCAGCTTTGGAACCGTAGTTGGACCACGTGACCTTCACAGCCTCTTGACCATAAAATTCCCTCAGGTGAAATTCCTCTGGTTCGCCAGGAACACATTTCTGTTCTGAATCCAGTCTTCCTCCTTCACCAGGTCTCCCTGGGGTTTCTAACTCCCCCCTGAAGAACTACTGGTCATGTTCTTGCTGTGACCTCAGCAGTAAACAGCAGGAATAAAAGACCTCAGTTTATAATCCTTAAAATGTAATCCTTAAAAATGGTAAAGCTCCCAGCATGTGTGCCTTTTGAAAAAACATGACTACTTGCTAGGACACCCACTGAGACCATTTGAAATTTAGGCTAAAATTTAGACCATTTAGAATTTAAAGGAAGGCTTAGAGATCAAAAGCTTTAGAGAGTAGAACTGGTAATGAGGTAATTATTTTAGAAACTTAGATTAAATGGGGTTATAGGTAGTCAGACTCCTTTTGCCCATACGGTATCTAAATAAGCAATTCTCAGATGTAATGTGTGCGGGAGGACCTGGGGACCTTGTCAGTATGCTCATTCTGACTCTGTAGGTGTGGGGCCCACCATTCTAACAACATTTCTAACATGTGCCCAAGTGATACTGTGCTGGTCAAGGGTCCACTGAGTATGTGAGCAAGGGTCTGAGCCCCACCTCCTTTGCCAGGTCAGTGGTCATATCCCTCTGTTGTGCATGGACCATTTTCTCAGGTCTCCACTTTTCTGTAAATAGAAGCACCATCACATCAGGGTGACCCCTGGATAGCTGTCAGTTTAAGTATAAAATTAGGTCAGTGTTGGGTGCTTAGGCCAGTAGGCTTCAGGGCAGAGCTCCTGAGTTCTCGTCCGCTGCCCCCGCTCACAGAAGTGATGTGTGAGCTCCGGCAACTTTTAATTTCCATTTTCCAGATGTAAGTGGTCCTGACATTGGAGTGAGGGTCCACTTCCATCACAATCCTCACTGCTTCTTCTTTTAATAGGCCCGCTGATCATCATTACTATTCCACTAAAAAAGTGTTTGGGAGGTTTTCTTTTATTTCCCACCCCCTCTCTTCACATTTGTCAGCCACCTTAAAATTGAGCAGATGTTTTAATTAGAGCCTTTAGTGTGTTGGAGCAGCCAGTTTGTTTCCCAAGAGCTTCATCTGTAAAATGATGGGGTTGGACCGCATGATTTGGAAGCTTTGTTCCAGCCCCCAGTGCTGTAATATATCATTAGAAGTTTTCAAAGAAGATGGCAAATTACTCAGAACACTTGAACTGATTTTGTGTCCTTCCAAAATGTCTGCGGTGATATATACCCAGCGCATTGAACACTGTACCGTTGTGCTGGATTTTGTTTTTTGCTTTGTTGGGTGATTATTTTAAAATAAGGAAGTGAGAAAAACCTAGGTACAGTATAGAAATAATTTCCTCTTTTTTCTGGAGCTCTATTCTTTGCTGCAAATCTCGCTGGAATATAAAAATAGATTGTTAGTCTGTGTGGGAAAGGATGTGATAGGTGATATTGAGTTTTATTTCCAAAGTTCTCATCGGTGTGCATGTAGAGGGAAGGGAAGCTCTAATCCTAATTCTTCTAATATTATCATTTTCCATCAGAGATCTTACCTGTCCCTCCTCATGCTCTTTGTACTTCAGAAGTTTTGATGATACCCAAAATTATGTATTTTGCCTTTTGTTTCCACTGGGAAAATTTAGAGGCCTA